AATATACGTACGACGCGCGCGGAAACAAAAAAAAAAAAACCCGAACCGACGGACGGACGGCGCGTACCGTACCCCGTGTCGAACGTCGGTGATGTGAACGTTGTGGCGGACGTGATGGTACGGTAACGTTCACGTCGACTCGCCGCGACGGTAACCCCGGTAACACGGTCACCGCACGAATGGCGTTCGTTCCCGTTTGAAACCGTTCGCGCGTCCCGCAGCAACGCACCGGATTCTCGCCGCGCGTCCAGTTCCGACGTTCCGAGCGAACGCGCCCGGCAAGAAGAGGATTCGCCGCCCGGCCGACGATGGACGTGGACGACGCACCGGCCGCCGTCCGTTGCGACGTCGACCGCGAACAGACGACGGACGTGCTCGACCACGGTGCTGCTGCGCTTTACTCGTTTTGCGAGAACGACCACAAGAACTGGGAGTGAGTAAACACCGCCCGTCTGCGCGCGGCCTAAACGACGGTCACGTTGTCGGTGACGTCGGCATCAATATTATTACTACGCGAACCGATCCACCGCGTTCCGACGTTATCGCGATATCCGTTATAAGTCCGTTGCCCGACTTCTGTTCACCTATAAAGGTGCCTTCTCTTTCGCGCAGGCGGTGGCCGTAGCACGACCAAGCGATCGGAGGAGCTGGTGTCCGATCGACGTTGCCGATTCAGAGACATCGCAGACTGCAGACTTCACACATCGGCCGATAGTTTAGTCGGGTTGGGCTGCTGTCGCGCACACTGGGCCAACTGAACAGTTTGGTTGGTGGTGGTACGCAAACTGGTCAATAGCCGTCGGCCGACTGCTCTGGAAAGATTTTTTTAGTTGTACCGAGTTCTGCTGACGATACCAGTCGCTTTTCAGTACACTTTTACTATACGTTCCCGCTCCAAAGCTCTGGTGAATCGGCCGAGTCGGCAGACTAAAAATCGGCAGTGTGCGCGCGTGGAATTATCGCCATACTGATTAAGCAGTCGGCCGATAGTTCGCCGACTGTTTAGTTTGAAGGCAATCGTGCAGCCCATCAAACTTATTAATCGGCCGATACCAGATCGTTATAATGTGCGCTCTTGCACATAACTTTGTACTGATTAAGAACCCGACTAAACTATCGGCCGATATAAAGTCTGTAGTGTGCGATGTCTCTTAAATAACGAAACAATAAAACGAGTTCGTCGTGAAAACGATAGAATTAAAATAATACGATATCCATAATATTAAAAACCTAAACGTACAGATTAAACGCTCTCCGATACGTTCCGACAACAATAACTGGTTTACTCTCGACGGTTATGAAGGACGTCGGTTTTTTTCGTCAACTTTTTAACGCAACCTTTTATACCTACTACGAATCCTTATATATTAATCGTATATTTAACACCACAAACATAATTATATTTAATAATAACACATTGTACAATGTCAACATTTGATTTTTTAGCGAAAACGATAAAGTCGGATACTTAGAAGAACAATATGAAATTCTTCATTCGTCCGTTATAGCTTTGACTTCACATTTTTCACAGGTATCATGCAAGTTTACGAGTACGAGCACTATTAAAATATATTATTATTTTTTTTTTATTATAGCGCACGCTAGATTCTTTAAATTGCACCGCACATACACATTATATGATGGACATTTGAAATAGATGTAATATACATATCATAGTGTTCTTTTGAAAATACTCTTCAATTCAATACTGTCAACAAATTACCGTTAAAGATAACGGTTCACATATTGTATAAATACGTATGTTGATGTATAGGTGCAGTTGAGGATTCATCAAATTATCGAGTCACCTGATGAAGAGAAAAAAAATTTACTACAAAATTTAGAAGAATTCGCGTTTAAAGGCATTCCGAATGTTTATACGAATTGCTCGTTGAACCACCTGCTTGTAACAACGGTAGATTAATTTTAATGATCTTTAATGAAGAAACTTTAAACTGTATTAAATCTTAGAATGACGATGACCAAATGGTGAAAAAAAAACATAAAGTTCAAATCGAAGTAATCAAAGAAATGAAAAAGCAATTGGAAGACTTGGAGAACCATATTTACAACAACAAAGATGAGTTTGATCTTCCGGAAAGTTTTGTTGACGTTTTTCGCGAGAAGCAAAACAATATCATTAGTAAATAATACTATTTAAATTGTGATTTTAAATATTTAAAGTTATTATTTTTCAACTGGTTTATAACAAAATGATTTTATTTTAGATCAAGTAGAAAAAAAATTGAACTTAAGTCTTAAAAATTCAAAAAATATGTCGGTCGAAGAACTAAAAGAAGAGGTTGATAATGCAATACAAAAGGTACGGAATTTATTGTATAATAAATTATGTCAACAAAACTATCGTAAACAACTATAAACTCAATATTGGACTTAATATCTACAAAAGTTGTAAATATTGACAGTTCCACAAATAACAGATATTTCATACTGATTAAAATCATTTTTTTCTTAAAAATACATATCATTAATTATACTAATTTATACTACTGATGATAGATATACGAGACATGTGTCCCCAGAATAATTTAAGCTATTTTCCTTTTGATCAACAAATGTATTATATAATATATACCACATAGATCCTATAATCTTATCGTTTAGGTAATAAATATTAGAACCAATTCAATTTTACCTCATTTTAATTTCTTATTTTTAAGTCTCGTTTAAAATATTGTAGGTAAATTCTAATTCACTTAATTTCTATTGAAATCAACAAAAGTTTAAAGAACAATATTTTAAACGGTAATTTAATTAAGTAGTTAAAAATAAATAATGGCTACTAATAGCTTTTCAGTTAAATATATACTAATCCTAAAATATTTTACACAGTATTCAGAGTATAAAAGTTTATAAAAAAAAATAATAATTTTATTTTTTATGTTTAAAAGGTTAAAATAGCACAGACAATTTTTTTTTTCGTGAATATTGAAATAACTTTATCCATTTTAAACTTTAATATATTCTATGTATGTACAATAATAATTATAAATAATACAAAATAATTATACTGTCATTCACTCAACATTTTTATTTATTTTTTATTTTTATGACTTATCATTAGTTTTAGGAGTATACAAAATATTTAGGTTATTCCAACAATACTATTATACCTAATACCAAATGGTTTTCAATAATTCATTAGAATTTTTACAAAAAAAAACGTGTTTATGAATTAAACATTTAAAATCGTTTCAGCAGTTTAATAAATCATACGAATTATTTATAATGATTTAAAAGTAAATGCGCGTACACTGTAGAAAACCATTTCACTCACGTGAACTGAAAATAGTACGAATACTATATATATAAAAAATGGTACGTAATATTGTATAGTATGGAGCTATTGCTTTTACTGAATTTCTCACAAATTACAGATGCACAACGAATAATTATTATAATAATCGTTCTGTGAATTTTTTGTAGAGAAATATAAAATTATTATTGTATTGTCCTAGCTTAAATATATAACTTGTAAAAATGGAGTACTTTTGTAGTGACGATAAGTAAAACTTTACCACACATTCATATGTTATAAATTATGCAATCTATTTAATATTGACGCTTACTTCATTTTTATCCATAGCGACAGCTAATAGGGTCGAAAACATTTTTACTGATATCAATAAATAATATATATAAATTATACTTCTCTTAAATTTGAATAATCATTGTGCTCAAAATAAAATATTCTGTAAATAGTTGTAAAATTAAGAACCTACTTGGGTATATACTTCTAAATAGGTTAGGGCTATTTTATGCAAGCTTAACACTTCTCTGTTCTCTGTTATTTTGGTAACAATTTTTAGCTGAATCGTCTCGTATGCCTAATATATTATTATACGACGGGGGTAGATATATCTCACGACGTTAACGGTCAATGATAATTCGTAGCACATCAGTTGAAATATTACCATCTTAGAGCGAGTAACTTATAATTGCAACAATACGTCGTGTGTGTCATCTCCACCTGTCATTCGGGCCACCACTGTTGAACGATATGATTCAATAATCAGGTGCATACATTTAATTTACAATATTTTTTATTTAAATAATAAACATCATTGTGTTGCGCATTTGATAACTATATACTTTACGATATCGATGAGCCCTTGGAGTTCCGCAACAGGACTATGAATATTAATCAGGGAACTTTAAAGTATCTAGTGCAGAGATAGTCTAACTAGCTATATCGTAAGGATTCCACTAGATAACACTATCGGTGGACATTTGCTGTTCTTAGTTATATAGTCACGTTGCACTATTTTTCCTTTGCGAACAGTAGGCGCATAATTAAATATTAGGTACTCTCTAGAATCATTGATTTTATTTTTATCATTACAGTGAATACTTTGAAATAATTAGACTTTGTCACGTACAAATCTTCTTCTTCTTCTTTGGTTTTCAAAAGCCATTGAGGCCCATTATCGCAACACAAACCTACTTCCTTCCACTTGTTTTACAATTGTAGAAAAACACAATTATAATAAATGTTAAAATTAAATGAAATGAAATTAACAATAATAATAAAAGGTCTTTATTATAAATAATAAATAAATAAAATGAAAGTATAAAAATATCATATAATGACGGCTAAGAACAAACAACGTCGTTAGTGTTAGCGGGGGTTGTCGTATTGTTCGCGAACGCTTCTTGATATATCGCCGTCACCATAACTGGTTAGGGTATCTTATCTTAACAATCGAGCGTCCTGTTTAATAATCCAACGGGGTGATATTAAGACAAAAGTGTTTTACGGGTATGATTGCGGTATTCGTGTGACACGACCGTAATCCAATTATTTGTATTTTAACTATAATAGTATAATTTAAATGAATTTAATTTACATTTCACGATAAACATATAATGCATTATTGTCTAATAACTACTAATTCACCGTAATTTTGTTCATAGCTAGTAAACCCAATGAAAGCAACGGAACATTTAGTCGATCAGTTAAAAACTCAAATAGCAGATCTTGAAAGGTTCATACAATATTTGCAAAGTAAGAAAATCAACAATGGATGATAATAATCGTTGGGTAGCATAATTTATCGAAATAGTTTTGTTAACGGCATATGCATCGTATTTTGAAATAATACCACTAAAATTTGTGCAGTTTTATTACTTCATCCTCAAATAAATAATAATAATAATCATGCGCCCTCAGTAGTTATTATTTATTTATTTAATATTTTTATGGTGTTGCATTCATTATTTTCAAGATTATTCTTATGTATTATATGTTGTTCGATAAGCTAAGTGTTTCAAATATCAAATAAAATATCAACACATTACCTATATTTCTAGATGGAAAAATTAAATTAAAAACATCAGAAGAAAAAATGACGAAAATATCGACGACTAAAGAAAAATGTTTAGAACGGAAATCGAGAGAAGTGGTAATTTAAAAATTGAATACAATTTATCATAGGTAGTTTATAGTTTTATTTAATAATACTAATGACAGTGTATAATTAAGCTCAAAATAATTCTAATTTAAACATTAAATCATGCAATTTAGCTTTTTCCTGCTAATAATAGAATTACATCAAGCCATAGATAATAAAAGGAATTTCTTCTTCAAATTAATTTGTATTTTATTTCATACATTATAGGTATCTCGATTTGTTTTATATATTTTCGATTGTAAATAATTTAGAACCTTGACACTTATTTTCCAGAGCCTTGATTTAACGGCATTCAATAATAAATTATCTTTCACATTCACAAGTCGAAATCATCATCAAGTAAATTACTAACTATTAATTAATTAACAAAACATCCTGTAATAATGTGTTACTTAAATTTAGGATATCCGAAAACACGTACTATCCTAAGAGTACATGTACATTCTAAAAAATATACAACTAAAATAAAATATTGATATGGTGTTTCAATAATAATACCTACCTCAAAGAATAATAAATACTTATATGTTAATATCCTTATATTTTTAAGTGTATATTTTTATAATTATTATCTAATTTATGAATATTTTACAAAAACATTAATTTAAATTATTTATAATAAATAATAATAATTAGAAAACTGTTGGAGCTGTCAAACGGTTGACTGCGATAATACAAATGTTCATCGGTACTCAAATATCATGCAATCAACAGCATTTCAAAAAAAACACATTGAAGAAAACAATGAAAATAAATCATTGGGGGTAAGTTTGTATAAATCAGGGGCGTCATTTGGGAGGGGCAGACTATGGCAAATGCCCCACTCTAAGAAATTTTAAAAAGTCGGCAATTCTTTGTCCGATGATCAAATACTAAAATCGGTAAATAGTAAATTTTTATTTACTATTTTGTACTCAGAAATCAGATAATATTCTCTTTCAAATACATGTTTACGATTTATTAAAAGTTGGGAAACACTGACTCCTCCCCGTTTTATGACAATCGTTATTACACGAACTTTATAAACTTTATTTTTGGTATATTATACATTTCTATATATGTGATGTTTATAAAACAGTTTTCGTGATATCGATACTATAAAAATTGAGTTCATAATCTATATAAAAAAAAAAACGTTAAAATCGTTCCTATTATCCCAAACTACGGTACATTATATTTGAGATACAATTTTATGTTTTAATAAATAAGTTCTGTAAAGTATTAAATATACAAATATAAAATTATAAGTATTTATTTAATTAGATTTATATTATTATTCCTTTAAATCTATTGATAAGTAACTTATAGCTTATAGGATAAGTAAATAAATTAATGTTTTACTATCTTTAATGTTATTATTTAATTGGGTAAATTGAAACGTTTCATGTTCTTTGTTTATCATTATGACATTATTCATTTATAATCCTTAGATGTTTTGTTCCGAAAAAATATTTTATTGATAGTTTATCGCATGGGCGTATTAAGGAATTAATTATATATGAGACACACAATTCAAATTTTTTTTAATGTGGATCATTTTATAACGAAATCAAATTATGCGTGGCTGTGAATACTGAATTGGTCTTTTTGTAGGGTCCATACTTAGTGAAAAATCAAATAAAATATAAGTGTAACTTTCAAAACACAGGCAGGTATTAAAAATAACTACACAAAAGATTATAAGGGGATCCGGCATTAGATTAAAAAAAAAAAAAACCACAAATATTAAGGATTCACCTGATTTAAATGTCACCAAAAATTTTACTTGAAAATTTTGAACCTGAATTAAAGAAAAAATTTGAGTCCCCCCCCCTAGAAGTAAATCTAAATACGCCCCTGGTCTATCGTCCATAAATATTAAATACTTAAATATATAGGTAACCATTATTTTTTAAATATTATGAAGTCGGCAAATTTAATCAATTGCCCCACCCTTTCAAAAGTTGAAATGACGCCCCTTGTATAAATAAAAACTTAATATTAGTATTTACCTAAGTTAAAGTATCTATGACTACATACCAGAACGGTTGTATTTTCCTACTTTTTGATCAATAATCTTATAATAAGACTAAAATAAAACCAGTAAAATTTTTTTTCCTGCAAAATGTATATATCCTATTAAGCGTTACTTTATTATATTTTTTAATGTTTATTTTGTTTATTAAACGAATTATCATTAATTATACTAAGACCGTCATGTTGGTATTAAGTAGACAATTTTTTTGTGAATGCCTAGTTAATAAAAAAAATAATATAGATTCTACGAATAAAATATTATGTTTAAAATAAATTCATAAATGTGGTTTTTAATTTTTTATATATATATATTTAGTGATTATAGAGCCAACTTGGAATTAGTTATTGCAGAACTATTAGAAATGATGACAGTACCAGAATCACATATTGATAGTGATTATATATCCGATTCGGAAAGTGCAATAGCCGCAATGGAATGTAATGGAAAAATCGCCATTGTAGTTCGAAAACGGTTAGCTCCGGCCATTCAACAGTTGATTCAGCATGGTCTTATGGTGGTAAACTAACATTTTTACAAATTATTAAAAAAACATATCTAATCGGATATTTATCATTATTACCTTGTTTATGAAAATGTAATCAAAATGAGATGACTAAAACCTCACTATATTATTCTCCATAAATAAACATGGTTGATGAATTTTGGTCCAAATGGGTTAACCTTTTAAAGTTAAAAGTTCCTACCTCTATTTGTACTTATGGTTAGAACGGAGGTAGGTCTATTTAACAATAAAAATTAGTTGATCAACTATTCTCTTAATCTCATAATTTTTCTCAATGAAGTTTATTTTAATTTTAAATATTGATAATTTTGATTACTTCATTATTCCTTCCTTCTATGAATTTCAATATTTATAGGTCCACCTTGATTATTATTATATAATAAAATGTGGGCAAATAATATAAAATTGTTCTAAACTCGTGATAATACAGGTGGGTCAAAGCACGAGTGTCGTACCATTTGTGGACTGTTTGCATCCAAAACTGAATAGCTCGAAATCTACAATGCACGCATGGGAGCTTATATTGAAATACTACGAGATCAAAAATGGCGATTATTTCAACTCGACGCCGGCTCGTAAGCTATCTCAAAGTTTTAATCTGGATATTGAAGGATGTAAGTCGTCTGTTTCTTGCAAACAAGTACGTATACATAGTTTTTTTTTCAAGGATAAATTTATATTTTAATAATTTTTTGTGTTATAACTTTTTAGTTATACTCGTAATTGAAACTCTTTTATTTCAGTGTCTACTTTCAATTATTGGAAACATAATTTCATCCCACTCTCGATACAAACGGAGTTATGATTCGTGCTTTAAAGCTTTCATATGTGCTGGATTAAAGTGAGTTTAATTGAATGTGTTAATATTTCTATTGTGATATTTTAATAGGTTTTTAAGCTTTTTCTTTGTAGTAAATTGTTACAATTATTTTAAACAATTTTTAAATGTTTTTCAGTTCAAAAATGTTAACCAGCTGGTTGAAATTTATATTGAAATGTCAACCATTAATCGAACTTTACTATCAATCTTGGAGTTACGTAGCGCAAACAGGTAGATATGTATTTATAAATAATTTATTGGTTCATTCATGCATATAAATAATGAGTACGTCATGTTCCGTTTAATTTTTTTAGAATTTAATAATATTTCATATAAATTATATTTTATACCTATATGCACCCCATATTAAACTTAATAAACTAATGAATTTTATAAATTCCTATTTCTTGTACAACAATTGATTATTTTATTATCAAAACTGTATAATTGAAATACTAATTCTTACTCAAATTTTAATAATAATTTAAAAATTGTTATTTATAATTGTTATATATATTAAATTAAATTTGTTAAATTATTTCAGGATTTGAAGATGCATTGCATTCACTAGAAAAGTTGAACCATTACAATTTTGATCTACCTGCAGATTTGGCCATTCGACAATTACAAAATATAACAGATGCTTTTTAATTATTATATTTACAAGCTTATCAATATTTTTATATTCAAAATTATCTAATTTTCTTCTTAATCTTTTAATAATTTATTTTTCGTAGAATAAAATTACATATAAAGAAAAGTGTACCTTTTTTTTTAATTTTATTTTATATTAATAAATTAGACTTGAAACACAAAAAAATAGAAGAAGTATTCTCTAAACTTTATTGGTACGAGGATTTACATACAATTCTTTAGCTCAATGTACGTAATTCATCATTTAAGAGTCGCGGGCTCGTTGCTACTTCCTATTCATATTTGATATCTGACAGGAGTGTATTCAGGAATTTTTTATGGAGGGGATCAAACATTTTTATTTAATCTGTTCTCTAATTATAATTATAGTTTAATTCAATACCAACAAATTACTGTTAATATACTATAGTATGGTTTATACATTATTGATATATTATATAATCTATAAACTTTGTATATTGAAAATAATGGGAAAATAAAATACACTATATACTATTAAACCGTTGAGTATGTAGAAATTTCAATGAGGATTCCGAACCCGAAACCCCCTTCCCTTGGGTACGGCTTTGATATCTGATGAACGTTGTTTGAAAAATAACATCGTTGTTGATAATCGCTAAGCATATGCTTATTAATTAATTTAAAAATCATAATTATTTTTAAAATAAAATTAACTTAAATTTAAATATAACCATTATTACACAAGCTATATTTTCAATTATTCTAATTTCTAAATAGTTTACTTAAACTATAATTTATTATGGATATTGCGGGAGTGTGAACATCATTTATCCAAATTTACGCAGAAATTCACTATCACAAGTAAGGACATTTAAGTTCTTATTTTCTATAGCTGTCTATAAATTATCTAGGAATGATTGAAATTTTTAGTTAAATTTCGTAACTGTTACATTGTTAAGAGGTTATTAAAAATGTAATTTGTTATATCGATGCATTTCAATGATCTTGATTGGTTGAATATTGTAAAGCTATATTTACCAAAATTTTACAAACTTGGTATATATTTTTTTTATCATACTCATATATCATTGTGATGATTGAGGGGTCCCGAATTAATTACATCCCTCAGGACCTATAAATCCTTACGACGGCAATGTACTGCAATAAAATATTTATTATATTTCGCGTATCGTATAAATTTATAATTAATAACTTAATAAATCGTACTATACGATCGCTTCGAATACTTCTACTTGCGCAACGAATAGCAAAACAATTTGATTAGTGCCGCATTTAGATAAAAGTCGCACAAGAGCAAATATTTTATCGCTCCCCTCCCCCTTACAAAAAAAAAAGAAAAAAAATATACAAAAACATTAAATTAAGGTATTAATTTAATAATTAATTATATAATAATAAAAGTAATATTTTATAATAATTTTTATTACAAAAATATAAAATATAAAATTTAAAATTAATAAAATTATTCATAAATTTATAACTTATATGTAATTACTCAGTCACAGTCACAATCTGATAGATAACAAGACTTGTAAACTTAGTTTAAATTTTAAACTGTGTCCGTAGTTCAATAACCAGACTATATTCTATAGGCCTATAGGCAATTATACGCAGAATCAATTAAGATTATCAAATGAATAATTTTATTAACGTTTAGTTTAATTTTTTCCCATTAACTTAAGTGTATAAGAATTCAGAATGGACTAAGCAACTTAACTTTAAACACTGTTTTTACATTTTAGTTAGCCTTATTATGACGTGCCTCTAAAATTTTAGTGCTCTCTAAAGCCTTGGTACCCGGGGCATTTGTCCCTTTTGCCCCCCTCCCCTTAAATGCACCTATGGATATGAATTTCAAACCATGTGGCGAACAAATTCGTTCCTACCACTCGCGTTAACGACTGAATGCGCTAGTAATTTGAACTAAACTAAAAACACTGAACTGGCTAAATTCACTGACACAACGATTAAAAAAATACAAGTAGCTGGTGAATGATCGGTAATAATTGTTGATCGTTTAATCCAGGGGTGGGCTACTGGCGGCCCGCGAGCCTTTTTCATCTGGCCCGTGCTGTATTTTCTAATTATGTCATACAATTTTAAAGTTTATCTCTATCTTATCAATATAATAATTGTTAGCTGGTATTAAAAATCGTTACATGTCTAAATATCATATTTATGTATACGCATAGCTTTCAACTATAGCTGTTTGTACCGCACTATTTGACCACAGACCAAATGAAATATTTTTTATTCATATTATATAACTATATTATTCATAAAGTTCATATAGTCTGTGATTAAACTGTATAAGTTTCTTCGTATCATGCGTGTCGTCCTGTCGTGTGTGTTGAATTTATTATTTCCGTGTACATAAATGCTAATTAAAATTCTTATTTTAAATGACTTTTTTTTTTGTTTTCTACGCTCTGGCCCGCTAGATTTTAACTTTCTAAAATTTGGCCCTCTAGTAACTTTGAGTCGCCCATCCCTTTTAAACGATCGCCGGGTACGTGTGAAATGGCATTTTGTCGCGTACGATGGAAATCGAATCTATTTTTGTACGTTTGATAATCTTATTTACCGCATCGCTCGCACTGCGCCTACACATATCTAATATAAAATAATGGTATAATATGTAGTTCACTATAGATGTCTACGACCTCATGGCGTTCACGTAGGGCATAAGGGTCACGGTCTAGTGGTGAGACGGTGCACGCGAGGCGAACCGTCACATATTCATCCGTATTTCGGCATATCAATCCAAACGGATAAACACGTGACGTTTAATTCACATCCGTACGTTCGCTCGTCACATCCATTCCAATTTTAATAACAATTAAATTCGTATGCACATCGCGTTACTGTGTGTGAATTCAGTAGTATCAATTTGACGTTTACAACCGATGATAACACACCGTTTTATCATTGTTCGCGTTGGTCGTGCGCACTCGAGATAACAGTATCAATAAACGCCGGATATTCAGAGTGTCGTCTGGCGCTCGAGTGCAACTCGTCGGTACGCGGACCGTAACTGCATAGTGTACAAGTGTGTTTGGAATCAATCATAAATTGGGACCGGTTGGGAAAAACAATACCGCATAAATACCGTACCTACCGGCACTAGAATTGTGATTAATAGTAATAGTAACGACAATAATAATAATAATAATAATAATAAATTATTACGTTTACAGCTACGATGTAACGACACTCTCTGGCGTACTGTACGTGTTGAATAATTATTTTTTGCCGATTGTTCCGTTTGACGAGAACATGTAATTACGTCGGCGGCTGAACGTACATAGTCAAAAACACGTTTACACCATGAGCTCTCGAGATGTTCTGTATCGGTTGCGCCGAAGTTTGGAAAAAATCAAAATGTAAGTGCCCGTTTATCGTTTTTAACTTTGCGTATAGTTAATTCATGCTATGTGTTTTTGGTCTGGACGAATACAATTGTTTTCATTTTGTAGATCGAAGAAAATCGCAATCGTGATCACGTTTATAGTCACCTTTATACTTTATCTTAGCCCGTACTGGAGATTGTCTAACAACCGGAATCTTGAATACGGTATGTGTGAACGATAAGTTATACAACAAATCTATAGATTTATATAATCATTTTTTAACTGCTGGTTTAGAGTACTTCAAAATGTATTCCCAATTATTAAAATGTTGCCAGTTTGATAATATTATTTGGCACTGTTATATATAGTATAATATTATTATTTACTTATTATATAGTTACCATAACTTGCATTTATCAATTATTTTAGTTTTTTTTTTTAATTATTTATAAAAATACTAATTCACAGGACTTTTGTTTTTTCGATATACATTGTATTATTTATTTATATGTGTAAAATGTAAATGTTTATATTAAAAATATACGTGTTACTTTGTCATTACTTTGAAATGTTTGTACAACATTCAATTAAAACCCATATTTTTCTGTTTTTAGATGAATTGTTTATGAAAAATGGTCTATTTGAAAAGTTATCCTTTCATAAACAAGTTTATGATGTTTTTGATGCAAATATTATGCATGAACCAATAGATATTAATGAAAAGTCTTACAAAGAATTTATAGGAAATGGTTATTTTGGCGTTTCACTTGATTATGATTCTCCAATTTACATAAAAGGCATTAGAGCACTGTCTATACCTATTTATTGGTATCCAATCATAAAATTAAATACTGAAGTGCCATCACAGTTGGCTACAGTTGTAAATTATAAAACTGGTATAGCGTATCGATATGAATGTTTTGCTAATAAACTTCAAAGTAGTATAAAATACTTTGCATTTCGAGCTTTACCAACAATTTTAGTTCAGGATATAGAACTCACAAATCCTACTAATTTTGTATTATTTGCCAAATTAAATCAACTTCCATTTAAAGCGCATGCTTGGTCAATGTATAATACACGTGTGATGAAGTATGTTATTTATAAACTAAATCATTTTGACTATGTTAATACATTTTACAATATTGTTGAAGACTAGCAGAACAAGATGGAAATTATGTAGTTATCTCTGGAATTAGTACTTCTACATCTGACAATCCCATTTATGGTGTTTCTATTACATATTATCAATTTCCAGCACATGTTAAAGTAAATAGAAAAATATTTAATACTGCATAATTACTAAAAAATTATATTACTGTACTATTTGAAGGTAATGCCACACAATATATTGAAGTTGCGCATATTAATGTCTATAGAATATATAGTATTAAAACAAAAATCAGATTTTTCCACAGTTAGGTTAGATTTAGAAAAAAAATCAACTGATGTGAGTTATTTTAATATTAATTACTTATAATTATTATGTTCCATTAAAATAATATAAATATTTATTAAATTTTCAGTCAATATTGAAAGTTACACAATATAAAAATATTGAAAAAACACATATTGATATTTGGGAAAAACTATGGAGTACTGGATTTTCAATTAGTGTCTCAAAAGCTAATGATGTTTTAAATGGAGATTTAATCAATGCAACCATGTATAATGTTTTGTCCAGTGTTCGAGCTCCTTTGTTTGAAATATCATCTTCTCCTGCCATTCTAGCCAAAGTCTCTAATAGTCTTTCATATATTGAAGGTTGTTATGGTGCAAACCATGATACTTTGTACGTATTTTCTATATCTTATAATAATGTTTATTTATTTAATATTTAATTCCCCTTTCTAATTACTTATTATTATTATTAAAGACAAGCTGTAAACTTATGGTCAGATCTTTCTACAATTGAAAAAGTTCACAGTGCAGTATCATTGTGGATTATTACTTTGGAAAAGCAGGTATATTATATTAGCGTTATGTTTAATAGTTAAATATTTATTACCAGGGTGGGAAAGTTATTGCACTAAAAAAATATTAACATTGATTGCATTATTGCAATAAAAAATGATCAAAATTGCATTATTGTAGGAACAAATTAAAAAATTACATTTTTGCTGTATAAATAACCAAAGTCACACTTAAAAATTGCAATTAACTTTTTTATTTATCAAAATAACTATTTAAAAAAATTAAGAAATTAAAAAAAAATATTTTTTTATTGAGATAATCATATTATAAATGTAAGTTATTTTACAAAATATTTCAAAATAAAAATTCATATTCATACTGGAATAGTGGATTTAGTTTGATCTTGTAGGAGCCCACAAACAATATTTTCAACATTTAAAAAATGTTTTATTTGAACAATTTTATTTTATTTTTTAATACAAATTTCTATGCCTACCTTAAAAACCATTGTGCTACAAGATAAATGATTTTTTTAAATTCTCAAACTTGAAAGATCTCCAATTTGAAGACAGCAAGCTGTGCAACTCGTGTATCATTTTATCAAATATTATTTCTTACGCTACCATCACAATAGACAAAGAACGAAGTAAAAATTAATTATTATTTATTATTATATTATTCTGACATATAATAATATCTGATCCGCCATTGTTATTTTATTTCTTACGTAAAAAAAAAAAAAATTAAATAATATGAATAAAATTTAAAAGCACTAAAAATGTTTAGATTTTAATTCATACTTGCATAGAATGAATTTATAATCTATTTAGCAATAAATCCGAACATTAGGAAAAAAATTGCAAGTGCAACAACTTTTGATTTATAACAATATATTTAATTAAAAAAAAATACACTTTAGTTTCCATAGTAAAATTGTATTATTAATAGGGTTAATATTATATTAATATATGATATATTAATTTATAATATTACATATATCAAAAACTAAATTAATTTGTTATTATTTATTTTATTCCTTAGCTCATGTTGTATTTTTAAGAATATTTAACCCTCTGATTTAGTTTATTCATCTTACTAACTCAAAACTCAATCAAGAAACTGAATTAAAATATTTTAACTTTCATAATTGTACAATAAATTAAATATTAAATAAATTGGTATACAAATATCCATGATTTTTAATTTTAATTGATTATAAGTTTTACCATTTTTATTCTCTGATAATTTATTTTAATTTCTTATTTTAGATGAGTTACTTATTTTTCATTGTGACAATATAGATTATCTTTATTCCTTACAAAATAAGTTTAATTAAATATTAACTTTACTATATAATAAAATATTTAATTCACTAATGCTAAATATTACAAATCTTATGACAAATTTGAGTGACAAATTTTATTTAGTTTATTGAAAATAATTTGATCAGACTTTAAGTCATAATATATACTAACTGCTTATTTATTTAATTTATAATTTAATATTTATAAAAACACATTCAACTTATTAACTGTAACTTATTCAATGATATATTTATTTCTACTTCAAGTTATACTGATCAAATAATGTAAGTCAAGGTATTCAATGTAGATAATTACATAACTAATTGATTAAAACAATTTTTCTATAATATTTTTTTTTATGACTGCAGTTTTTTTTTCATATAATTTCATAAGTTTGGATATTGTATATACATTTTATTTTATTTCTCAAATTAATGTACTATTCTGATTATATACTATGTATTAATAGTATACAATAAAACTAGAATGTAGTTCTTCTTCTGGCTTTTATAATTTTCCAAGAGTTTTTGCTGCCATCACTAAATCGCCCTCCACTTATCTCGATTCTATAGAATTTAATTAATTAATATTAAAATTACCTTACTCTAATAAAATTAATATTTATTTAATCACTGTTTAGATATTATTTATAATATAATATATTTGTTTATATGTATCAAAGAATAAATTAAAATAATTATTAATCTACTGTTGGAATTTTTATTGTTCATTAATTTAGTAAGTTTAATTTAATTTTGATGTTTTTCCTAGGGATGTCATAATTTGGTTAATGCAGGAGCATCAGGAATAGCGCAAGCAATGGTATTAAGTTTTGGTAATTTCAGATTTAGCAATCAACATTTGGAATTTAATATGCACCCAAAATTTTTACACAGAGACTTTCATTTCAGGTATGAAAAAAGTATTTTTAAAAAAAATTGTAACATATTGGATATATTATTCATTAATGGAAATACTAACAAATTTTATTTTATTATTAGGCGTCTAAATTATGGCAATATGACTCATATAAATGTGACAGTTTCAGTTCAAGAAAATAATAAAGCAGTTATTTCTGTAGCTGTAGATCGAAGCGATAGAAATTATTATGCGTGTGATGGTGGGTGTTTAGATGAACCTGTATTATTAGGGTAAATATTATTCTCAAAAATGTTATACCAAATACCTAAATAATATTATAATTTGTAGGCCAGAGTATAAAACGTTTCCAGTCAAGTTAACAGATCCTGTAACTGGAATATTATATATCACTTATGATAAAAAACACATGGAAGATTTAAAACATGCAATTCATGTTAAAGAAGTTTCAGAAGGTACTGATTAATACTATTTATTTAATATTTCTCTGTAGATTTTAATTTTTAATTGAAAAACTAATATTGTACATATTTTGTTTCTTAGCTCCTGCACATGAACATCATGTAATAGCACTACACAAACATGGTCATCGTCTTGGAGGGTTGCCAACATTCTTCTGGGTGGCAATTGGTTGTTTGATTGTCGTGTTTCACTTGTTTCTATTCAAACTTATTTACAATGAATATTTTAATTGGCAAGATAAATCTAGAATAAAATATGGTAAACTAGCATATAAGTAAATTTTAAAAATGTTTAGTTTTTAATTTCAAAAAAATTATATGTTATCATAAAAATAGCTATGTTCTACCATGTGTAATATAATTAATCATTAATTTCATATATTTATATATATGTTTCGGTAATAGTACGAATACCGTTGAAACCTAGGATTTACCGGTTAATCCTAGGTTTTACCTACTATGATCGGTAAATGTCCGAAATTCAAACAATTACTCGTAATATTAACCTCGACAATTGTAAAACGAATACTGCTCATAAAATTACTTCCTGCAATTGGCCTCGATATCAATTTATTAAATTAAGACACAATGATTAAAACTTTTATTATAATTCGTATCACAGTCAAAAATTAAATTTAAACTATTGATATTAACACAAATGTACAAGAATAAATACAAGTAAGAATTATCACAGAATTGGAAAAAATATATAATTTCGGACTTTTACAATCATTGATTGTTAATTCTAAGATTTACCAAAACTCGTTGGTGAGAGGCCAAACTGCTAAAATCATTCGGGTTTGACTAAGCAATAATGTATATCCTAGGTTTTACCAGTAAATCCTAGGTTTCACCGATATTTTTACTATTATGGTAACATATATATGTGTTAATATTATTAATTTTATACCAAAACAGTATTTTATCTTTATTAATTTTAAGTTAACAAATGATTTAAACATTTTTATAGTATTTTAAACATTAAAAAAAAAAAAAAAGAAAAAGAGTTTAATTACTATAAAAAGGTTTTAATGTTTTAATTTTAATTTTATTAATTTTATCAACTAATTTAGAAAAACTGACTTGTGTAGAATATAGCCATATATATATATATATATATATATATTATTAAACGTAATGAAATACTACATCCAAACTCAATTACTGCTCAAATTTTGTTTTAAGTAACATATAGATTTATGCTATATTATTTAAATATAAAATATTCTTTACAATGAAGTTTTCAATGTTAAAATGAATAAAATAATCATATTTAATTGTTATGAAGTCCCCAAATAACATAAAAAAATGATTCATCTCATACAAATATAAATGGTTTAAAATATTTTGTATTCAAAATTTTCAGTTGAAATGAAAATGTATATTAATATTGATTAATTATAAATAAAATATATAGTTAATATTAAATGTAGATAATATCTAATCAATTTTGTATTGATACATTAATTAAAAAAATTTTGTAACATTTTATTCGATGAATATTTTATTAACTAATAACATAATAAAAGTAAAAAATAAATAGTAAATGGCTAACACTCGTAAATGAATATGTAAATAAATAAGCAAATCATTTATACACAGATGTACAGTCGAGACGCAATAACTCGAAAAACTTGACAATTCGAATCGTGTTTTATTCCTCTAGAAAATTCTTCCCCTATAAATTAGTTATATATCTCGAAGTAAATTGTTATTCCTCTTCAACTTCGAGTTATCACAACTCGACTGTATATATAAAAAAATAAGTGCTTAGTCCTGAGTATTTGTAGAGTATGACTGGCTTCAAATTTAAAATGCATCTTTAAATATACACAATGTCAATACAATTATAATTCTAGATCATTAATTTATTTACTCCTATGTATAAACTATTTGTTTAGTTATTTATATATTCTTATATTAGCATTAGGTATTAATTTTTATTTAAATAAATAATTATTCATATTAATAAATTATAAGCCATAAAATTTTGTCAAATTATATTACATGAGTATACTAAATATATCAAAATTTAAGTTTATCAAACTTAACTTATATCTTCTATCGTTTTCTTAAAATTCATAGATTTTTTTTTGCTTTTATTGTTTTTACTATGTAAGAAATTATTTATTCATTCAAAATATAATTAAAATATTATATAATTAAAGAAATCAACTAATTTCATAGTACTCTTAAATAAATTATATAATACATTTTTGTAAATCAAATATAATCAATGCGTTTCCTGTGGAGTTTGTTTTCCTACCATTTTTTGATATAAATTTATGTTTTTGTAGGTGAAATGACTGAAAAAAGTTATAAGATCATAGTATAATAATACCAATCCTAAAAAAGATATAAATATTTAAACTAACTGTGATGTATAATTTCTAAGTTTTCACATATTATAAACAGGTAATAATTTGAATTTATAACTTTTAAAATTCATTGGTTTTCCTTACTTTGTGTTTACTATTAGTCATAAAAAATATAAAATCACAATAACTTTACTTTTAGTTTATATTAATAAATTAATTCATTATAAACCAATTAATTGCATAATTCATCAAAAATTATAGTTTATATATTAAAATATATGATATTAATAATATATTTGTGATAACATTAATTCTTATTCAACATCATTAAAAATATAATTTATTTTTTTTTAAATGTATGTTTGTTTTATTTATTATTATTTAATGTTTTGTTAAATAATTAAGTTTTTTTATTTATTAATTGCACTCTAGTTGTGATGCAACTACATGAATAGCCATACCTAATTATAATGCAACACATATTAGGTTTAAAATATAGTATAACATTAAAATATATTATGTAATATTGTCAGTCTTATAAACTTCATTCCCAATTTGGGTATGACATTATTTATTACATTACGATTTTAATTTATATTTAATGTTTTATCACGTTAAAATATATAATATTTAACAATTACGATTGTTTTTCTCTTATTATTTAATTTTATTGATTATATCAACTGATTGACATATTCCTTTATCATAATAAATCGTTTTTCTGTTACTAACATCTTTTATTTATAACTTTTAAAACATTCGTAAGCGTGAACACTGAGTGTGTCCAGATACCCCCAAAATGTTGTAAATAAGGCTCTACTATATGAGTGTAAAGAGTAAGGGACCTGTATTTTAAATGATGTTGCAATAAATGTATTTTTTTCTAAGATACCTATTTGAGTATATTTTAGTGAGACGTCGGAGAAGACCTTCATAATTGACTAGAGTGAATTATGACGATTCGTATATTTTGTTTTCATAATCGTGCCCACAAAATAGTTTATGGCGAATAATAATTTAGTTTGCTCATGGATAAATGTTGTATTATACTCGATTGTATATTCGAATTTCCGTTTCGACAATATACGCTTTCTGCACGCTCCTCTGACGGTATTATAATATTATTCACTTCTTTATGAACGAATAACACCGATAAACCTGACAATAGAACACGTCGTTGCCCATGTTGCTGTACGGTGTAATACAATGTAGTGTAGGACCGACGACTGCCTCGCCCCGGTACCGGTCCACCCGTGTCTGTCGGGAACGAGTACAACCGAATAATCAATCCCGGCCAGCGGAATAATAATTGACGACGGTTTTCACGAAACTAGTTATACGACCGCACGTGGATCACCACGAGAAAAAAATAATGACGTTCGGTCAACGAACACGGTGTTCAACATGTTTTCGCAATCCGACCGCCGTCGGAAAAACATCGAAAAACCGTGTAACGAACTTACTACGACGAAACGTATACGTGCGATGCGTTCTAGATTTTCGATATTTTACGTAATTCGAGACAAGTTGAGCAAGGCATAATGTTATTTACGTGGAATTATTTGGGGGGAAAAAAACTGGAATTGTTTATTTTTTCGCCCATTGTATTATAATACATATTATCGTACGTAATTCAATAGCAACTAGTCATGGTAGTCCTATTTACACGTATGTATTTGTTGGTCGAATTATGTATAGTTCTTGGTAGTCGCGTAAAATCGGACCGAAAAAATGCACAATCAAACATACAGATTTCGAAACGCTTAGGTCAGGCGCGGATCCAGGTATATTTTTTTGGGTGGGCCCATAAAAGAAAATACAGTAAAATTATGATTTTATTTAATGAATCTCTCATTTTCGAATATTCTAGCCATTCGTATTTTGAATACCACGAAATATTAAATGATCTCTGTTTTCCGCCGATGTTTCGTCTTGGAAATGTAATGTTGGGTTGATTTGGCCCCTTTTCGACGTTTTGACTAATATCAAAAATATTGTTTTGAACATCGCGATCAATGACACCTATTGAAGTAGAAGATTTACGAATTTTTTGGAAGTAACAGATTCAATAACAGATTGATCCGATTGTAAAAGGGGCACAAGAAAATGTCTCATGGTCTATAAAAAAAGTATTTATAAATAAAATAAAACAGGATTTTAGAATCTCAGATATAAAGAGTGGTAAATTGTTCTTATATGTGAGTAACTATTTATTACAATAATATAACAAACTACGTATATATACTGTACATATATGTATTTGTTTTCGTGTAAGTATTCAATATTGAATAATTGCACAATTTGTTAATTATAAAATAAATAGGTATGCCTTAATAAACAGTTAAAAAAACAAAATAAAACTTACCTATTTGGTGTATGTGCTCAGTACGTCAGCAATTCGTGGATGGATTTCCAATAAATTTTAATATTTAAATTGTTTAGTTAAAATGTGGATTTAAGTATCGCTTATTGGAAGTTGACAGCAGACAGAATAATATTACGAGTATACGTGTGTCATTTAACAATATTTGCTGGTCGGGTAGGGTCCAGTTTTACGTACACTTATTATATCTTATCGGGGTTCCATTGGCGTTCAAACGACGACAATCGATATTTAGATAAAATCACGTTAATCACACGGACAATTACATGTTATTAATAATAACTTATTATAAAAGGTAGATATATTGTTGTTTTGTTACTCACCATGCACGATTAATACGTTTTATACGATATATTTAATAAAATCAATTTTAATGCCGATATTCAAAATTAAAATTATTGTTTTGGAAATTTTGGGTGGGCTCGGGCCCACCCAGTCCACCCTCTGTATCATCGCCTGGCTTAGGTATGTTAAATTAATTAATTTTTTTCCTTTGCTCAAGAACAAATTTGTACGTTCCGTACATTTTAATTTTTGTAAAAACATTATGTTCCTCACCGATATTGGGGCCGGATTATGGTCGTGTATAAAGGGAACTATTATTTTTGGTGAGACCATTTATTCCCCCCCCTCCAAAATCATTACATTTTTCTGTTAGGATTTAGTAGTTTGTAATAAATAGTAATTAAAATAAGAATAGTATATTGTAGTACAGTCACAAATAATCTATAATATTATCGAAATTATAAAACACATTTTAATCCTTTTCAAATTGCGACCCGGGGCTATAGTGTCCCTCGCCTCTTGATCCAGTCCTGAAATGTTATTGTTTTCCGCGATCAATAGGCATTTACATATTGCTAATTAAACCCATTGTAATTTATAGTTCTTATGGTTTCATGATAATTCAGCACCTATGTGTGCCAATAATTTTTTAAACCCAAATCACCAATTACAATATTGATATTTAACTTGTTAACAGGGAGCAAAAAAAATAAAAAAAAATAAATAAAAACAGTAATATAACTCGTAAATCGTTTATTTTCTGATATACATCATCAATCTCTATAGGCAACGCCATGTCGTTGAAGCCACTCCTTCTGTCCAGTGCAACATTTTTCATTTCATGAAATTTTTTACAGTTCATGGACTTCTGGATTTCTTCGAAATATTTCTTTAATGGTTTTCCTTTGGTCATCTTTCCTGCAACTTTTCCTTCAAATATATTGGTAATAAAATCGTTATTTCTCATGAGATGACCTACGAGTTTAATTTTTCTACTATTTATTGATTTCATTAGCTGTCTTCTCTCGTCAACTTCCTCCAACACTTTCTTATTACTCTTCTTATCAATCCATCTTGTCTTTGTCATCCTCCTCCACATCCACATTTCTGCTGCCTCTATTCTTGCTCTGTCTTTCTTCTCTATAGTCCATATTTTACTTGTATACAGTAGTATACTCCTTACAAATGTTTTGATGAATCTTTTTCTCAAATCAATGCTCAGATGTTTGTTTTTTATCAGTTGGTTTTTATTTTGAAACGCTTATTTATCTTGAACTATTCTTTTTTTTAATGTCTGTGGTAATTTGTTGTTAGATGTTATAGTATTCTAGGGTAACAAAATTATTGGACGTATTCCTAAGTGATATAATTGAGTTTGATATTTCCATTTATCTGATTTATATTTGATTTACTCATGAGCATTGTTTTAGTTTTGTGTGTATTGATTTTAAGCTTATATTCATATAGGGTAGTAGCAAGTACTCTCAGCATATCATTCATTTCATTTACGGTTTCTGACAGTATAACTATATCGTCAGCAAAATGAATGCAATGTAAATTTCGTCCATTGATTTGCACTCCTGCGGTCTTATCTTTCATTTTATTTATACTTGCTTCTATGTAAAGGTTAAAAAGGTATGGGGAGAGTGGACAACCCTGTCGTACTCCTTGTCTTATCTTGGTTTCTTCTGTCAGACCATTCACTTCTATCTCTGTTGTTTGATCTTTATACAAATTGAAAATAAATCTTCTATCTTTCCAATCAATTTCTTTTTCTCTTAATGTTTTAAATAATAACTTCCAGTCTACTTTGTTGAATGCTTTCTCAATGTCTGTAAATATTGCATATGTGTCTATGTTTACTTCTAATCTTCTTTCTAAAATTTGTTTGAAAGCTAGTATAGCTTCCCTAGTTCCACGCCCCTTCCTAAATCCAAATTGATCTTCATCTAGATATTGTTCGAATTTGGTTTTCAATCTGTTCTTAATGATTTTGAGAAGTGTTCTTGATGCGTACGATAGAAGGGCTATGGTTCTATAATTTCAACATTCTGTTGCATTGCCTTTTTTTGGGATAGTTATAATTTTGCTCTTTATGAAATCTTTAGGTGTGTTGCCTTCACAGTAACATTAATTTGTTATTTTAAATACTTGGTCTTCTGTTTTTTCTCCAGTATTTCGTAATATTTCTATAGGTATACTATCAATCCCTGTTTCTTTGTTATTAGCCAGCTCTTTCAAAGATTTATTAAATTCGCTTTTGAGGATTTCAGGGCCTTTAAAATCTAGTTCTACATCAATCTCATTTTCAAGATATTTCTCTATGCTTGTTATTTCTTCTCCTTGGTATAACTCTTCCATATATTCTTTCTATCTTTCAACAACCCTAATATTTTCAAATAAAATCTTACCATCTTGTCTCGTACTATATTATTTCTTGTTTTTGGTTTATATTTGATGTTCTTTACCTTGTTGTATGCTCTGCTTGTGTTATTTAGTCGAATGTTTACTTCAATATCTTTGATGTTTTCATCTAGCCACTTTTCTTTAGCTTCTCTACATTATGTTGTTATTTCGTTTTTCAATTGTATGTAGCGTGCGTTATATGTATTTTTTAGTTTTCATTTTGTTCCCAATCATGTCAAGTATTTTCTCCGTCATCCATGGTTTTCTAGAATCTAATTTATTTTACCAATTACTCTATCAGCAACTTTTACGATATTTTCTTTTACTTCTTCTCAGGTTGTAGAGTCGAGGTTATAGTTTTTCAGTTCTTCGTAAAATTGTTCTAATTTTTTGCTGTCTTTCGAGTTATCTAGACACCATTTCTTGGCTTTTGTACTATTTGTCCTCTTTTTAAACATTACTTTTCATTTGGCTATTACAAGGTTATGGTCACTATCTACGTCAAAACCGGGGTAGACATAACAAAATGTGATTTGGTTTTTGTATTTATTTTTCACAAGGATAAAGTCTATTTGGTATCTTGTTATGTTTCCCGGAGCTTTCAAAGTATAATGTCTTCTTAACGGCACTTCAAAGTATGTGTTGGATATTATCAGTTCATGCTGTTTACAAAATTCAATTAACCTCTTTCCTCTCTCATTAACATTTTCTAAACCAAACTTTCCTGAATTATTAGAACCTTCACAACTGACAGAAGCATTGAAATCGCCTGTGATAAAGATGTTAGCATTATTTTCTGTCAGTTGCAGAAGTTCTTCAACTTGTACGTACATTTCTTCAATGTCTTCTTCTGTACTTCTAGTTGTTGGAAAATGCACTTGGATAATATAGATGTTTGTAGGTTTTGCTTCTAATTTGATCATTAATATTCTATCTCTAAGATGATAAGTGTTAATATAATATAATATTCATAATATTCTCTTACCTAGTATATCCTTTTTCCTTTCACTTCTTTGAGTTTAGCAGTTTTTAGTATTGTTTTTATATTCCATGTTCCTATTTTCAAATTATCTTTATTCAGAAGTTTTTTACCAAGATTTTGTAGATTAACTACCTGAGAAGCCTTGGACCTTCTCCTGCCGGATCTTGGTTTCCGAAATCCATGATCAGTATGGTTAACATCTTCCGTTGCACTTCTAATCCAGGATATCATCAAATCTTTAATACAGTGGGTTCCTATTTCCTTCTGTATCCCCATGCCGTTGATTAGGTGTATCAGTTCGTCCGCCTTTGGAGGCAGTTTCCCACCTCCAGGACAAGAGATTGCTCTCTTCTACCCGCTCATTCGCCCCGGAGGCCGTTAGCACTTGGTAGAAATTGTTTCTTTAACCGGGAATTGTCGGTATTCCTTAAGTCGTCTCTTACGACATGTGGAACATTCCGGGGTCTTATTCTAGTCCTAGAGCCACACAGACATACATAAAATAAAATAAATTCTTTCGGTTATATCTGTTCCGCCATTAAGTAAATATTATAATGAAGATTTTATTTCGAAGTTACCATGGTTACCAGGAATATACCATCGAAAATACCGAATGCAAAAATTCTGTAGTTTCTAATCAAGAATTTCAATAAACAATTGTATACATTGTTTTCGTAGGTATTTCGGAAATAATTAATTCGATAAGTATTTGTTAAAAATTTTATGTTAAACAGTAAAAATCGATTCCAATCGGAAAGTGAACACGATAGAACCGTACAATATCATTCCTTTATGTTAAAGTTTAACGTTTTATCAAAGTTTTCGGAATTTTTATTAATGACTGCGATTACAATACGTTATTCCTGAAAAAACCCCGACAAGTTCAACGTCGTTCAACTATACGTATTTGTTATTCTTGTACAGATACTAGATCAGGGGCGAATCTGAAGTTTGGTTAAGGGGGAGGACGAATTTGAATATTAGCAATGAATAATTGACCGTTATTTATCCAATTTATTGAAAAATAAGTATAACGCTTAATACAAATAATTAACTAGGTATCTTTATTTAAGTACCTATAAATATTCATTATTCAAAAATATTAATTACAATAATAATTTATCATTAATCACTTATTCTATATTTACAATAATGTCTTTATGTGTGTGGTACACGTAATACGAAACATGGAGTATTTCATTGTGAGATGAGCTGTTGATTTATCGACGTCTATAGCAATTAAATAAATCTAAAAATATGGTTTCCAAATATTCCTATAACCTCAGTCGTATATAGAACCGTGATCACAACTATTATTTATTATCATGAATCATCCTACTTATACAAATATATACACAATTTATAGGTATTTATAAAATTATTATATATATATATACAAAAAGTATTAAATAAATCGTAAAAAAAAAGCCCAAGGGGAGAAGGCGATCGCCACGTCACCCTCCCTCCCAAAAATCCGCCCTTTATTGGATACTGTAGAATATTTTTATAATTCGATTCACGTGTACAACGCATAAAGGTCAGGAACCGTTTTTATCAAATATGTAATAATAATAATAATAATTAAACCGCAGATTATATACATCTACATATCTGCGTATAAACGCCTTTTTTTTACCAAGTATGCATATTTCATTGATTTGTGCTGTAAATGGCGTATAACCGTTTTTTTATACAAGAAGCACACTGATTAAATGTGTTAAAACACATACTATATAGACATATAATACATATCGACCGGACGAGTTTCTACTGCCGTCGTTATATATAAATAATATATGGAGTTTTCGATAAAATATCGTTTAATCGTTTGCATGTGCCATACTCGAACAAGTTGGTGGTATTAAGTAAGTCAAGTAGTATGTAACATTAATAATATACTGCTACGAGAAATATAGTTCTAAATAAATATACATAAATGTAATATAATAATTATTAATCATAATACATTTCATTATCATCATTTTTCCGTATTTTTTTTAAAATTAATTTTTAGTGCATATTTTAACATAGTCTATGCATATTTTTGTATTTTATGATGCATATAATAGAGTATTTTCACTGCATTTAATCCGTGGTCTAATTAATAATAATAATAATAATAATAATTATTATTATTATTATTATTATCAAATATACGTGTAAACCACCTACGTGCGTAGATACACCAATATAGTTTAAAACGTATTAACATTTGTGTCAATTGTCAATATGAATTGTTATTGCAGAATGATGTATGTAGATGCCGGCATATCGTGCTTTATAAATCATTATTGTAATACGTTAAATTATATATTTGGTTTTAATTATATTTAAATTTTTATTCATTATTTTTTTTTCTTGGTTAAAAGAAAATTAAAAACGATAGTCATCACGAACGGACAAAGTATTAAAATATTGACAACGAAACATGCAGAATAGTAACTTTGTGCAAAAATCAAACACCTGAACCATTAGAGATATACACGTGTACAAGTATATACCTTATATAATTAGTCAATTGAAACGTTTTAAATTGGCAAGTTATATCCTAACGAGTTTTTTAGTTAATAAAATATACTATGAAGGACGGAAAACTGAAAATACAGTAAGGAAATCAATAAAAATATTCTTATTATTGTATTCCATGAATTTGTGCCTTTTTAAAATATTTAAATACTCAAAAAAAAGAACTATTCTCCTTCGATTCGATATTCTAGACCAAAAAATGTTCGTACAGGTTATAATTATATAAAACTTAACTTGTTTAAAAAAAAAATGAAATATTATTGGTTCAACACAAGCATGTCATCAAAAACTAAATAAAAACTGATTAAAACTAATAAAAAAAACTAATAAAAACTGAATTTAAAGTTAAGATGATTGAAACCTAAGATTATCCGTTTTTTCATCATTTAAATGTGAAACGCAATTATATCAATATATTCCGTTTCCATTTCAACTCTAAATCTATTATAATGCGATAATGATTTTGGAAAAAATTTGAATTCGTCGTAAGTTTACATGTCGATTTTCCTACACATTTTTATTCAATTTTTTCCACATTTGATGATTTTAAAGATCAAATAGAAAATGTAAGGTATCTCATTAGTATTTACAATCAGAAATCATACTTGAAACCTATATAATATTACAGAAATATTTTATAATAAATTTTAACTTTTATGAAATTATTTCAATCCCTAGAATCAAGAATTAATTGAAACGATGAATAAGAGAATATAGTTTTATATGCTCAGAAAAAGTACATATATTGTGTAATACATGACAAATTGAAAGTTTCAACCAAGGTCATAGGAAATTTCAAGTGCGCTAAATTTCTTCGAGTCCCTATATTTACATCATTAAAAATGATTTAAGTCGTATCAGAAAATAATTGTGAACACATACATCTCGTATACCTACACAATTCACAAATTACATAAAAATCAAAGGTTTTCACACGTTCGTCATAATTCATCTTTCAATACGATATTCAAAATAATTCTACGTTTTTCTTTGGTAGAAGTGGCTAATAAATATATCATCATATTATCGACCAATATGATAATAATTTTGAGAAATTTGATATATATTTTTAACTTCTAAGAACAATTGTATCATAGGTTTTTAGTTTTTTTCGTAGGTTTAAATGTTTCTCATTTCACATTTGCCAGTACTACTCCAAATTATGTTTGTTTAAAATTTAATCATCTAGTAATTATGTCCATGTATTATTTCTTTATATTTTTTAACTACTATTGCCAAATATTAATTTAATATTTGTTGTTATTATTATTATCATAACTATTATAACTATATATATATATATACTTGTATATCATTATATATGTCATACGAATGAATAAATAAAAATAACTTGCAAGCAATACATACATAAATCATGAAATAGATATGCACACGAGTAAACTATAAAATATATTATAATAAACAATTAAAAGTAATTAGTACATTTTGTTATTGGCTTAACTTTTTTTTCTAATGCACGTTCGATGTCAGTTATATTTTGGATACTTAGATGTCATAACTTGAAAAATATTAATTAATTAGAAATTACTGACTTTTTTTGTTTCAATAAACAAATTTTTTGTTTCAGTAAACTAAAAACCTCAAGTCATATTGTATTAAATATATTTTCAAAGTGACACCAATTTACACGTCCAAACCAGATTCAAATTTTCTACTAGTCGATAAATTGCCAAGTTTATACAAACTTGTTGTCGAAAACACATGTGTAGTCGTTTTTGTCTGGTTTGTGGTTATTTTTTACTTCGTAGTATAAAGTGCAGCTTAAGTAAATATAAGACATTACAATTACATGCTTTACTCCCATGCTTACAATATACACAGTACCAAGATATTCCAAATTATTTTTCTAAACTGAAAAACTTTAGGTACATTATTACGTTTTAGAAGCAATACTATTTATACTTGCAAACTTGGTTTTTTTTATATTCGTACTTACAAGGGTGAATCCAAAGAATGTTTTTGGTACATTTGAATTGGAAAAAATAACAATAATAAGCCATGAAAATGAATTGAAATTAAAATTTTAATTTTTCGACAGTCTAAAAAAAAAAAAAAATATGAATATTATTTCTTGTCCATGTTTGAGGTAAATTTCAGTTACGGTTAATACAAATCTAACAGCTTTTGAGAATGAAACTTAAGGTCCTCTTAAAACCGCTACTGAGGAGTAATGTGTTTGAAGAAATTACTTCTCAAACTATATCAATTATGCATTGGAGCTAATTGTATCAAACAATTACGGTTGTTGTAGTATTAATTTACGCTGTCCAATAAACCTAATTTATGATTACTTTATAAAAATCACTACATTGTCAGTTTTTGTATTCAAACTTAATCGAAATGATTGTGTATCGTCGAACCAGCAAAAACAAATTTCAAGTGTTCAACTACTGT